GCAAATTAAGGGAAAACAGGCGAAATATGTAAAAATTAAGTTGGTAGAGGGTGATTTTGATAATATTGAATAATCTCCAATTAAAATGTACAAAGATGGATCCATTTTAATCGGAAGATGAAATTAAATGCGTATTACAATTCGAATAAAGCTACATCACAATTTTATAATTGGAATAATTTAGATAAATTTTCAAATAATAAGTCAGTTTCACGCTAGTTCTTTTAAAGTAAATTTGTGCATAACATTTAGATATCTACCATTTGTATGTTTCGATAAACATCGACTTCACATCACTGCGGTTGTTCTGGCTATTTCACACAATTAACAAGAAAATGATACCTTATTCTTTTGCATAATCATGCAATGAAAATAAAAATTACATAAACGGATGATCAAACTTGATATTATTTAATAAAAATGTAATTTTTCCAAAATATCGTAAAGAAAAATCGATACATTTTCACACTCGTTTTGCTATATCGTAAACTAAGTCGAAACTACTTAGTAGAAGTCTGACATGCGACTATGAATAGAGGTAAATTTTAAGTTGGTACTTAAATTTAAGTTGCAACTTTGTTAGTTTCGACTTAGTTCCTGGACTATGAATACGCGCCAATGTATCGGTTCATGAATTAAAGTACCCTGCACACTTGTATACAAATGCTAATGCAATATTATGTGGATCACACAGTATCACTCACATCCGCCAATCATAACATAAAATTGGTATAATTAAACAATTGAATTTAAACTTTGGATTATAGAAAATACAATAATTATAACCAAACTTCATTGTTAATCGCCACCCAAACAACCAATAATAATAACAACAAAAAATATGTATATGGATATACATAAACGAAAGACTCGGAGCGGAAACTCGGCCATTCCGCCCGATCACATCATGGGATCGGAAACTTGGGCTTTCCGACCCAAGTTAGTACAAGCAAATAGCGCAACGGGGATCGAGGAAAAATTAAAACCGCTATAATTTTATCAAATACAGCATCACGGTAGACTGGAGACTCGGCCTCGCCAGCTACTTACTGCTTGAATTTATTATACACATATGTGCAAAGAAATGTTTAACCACGTCCTTTCGTACTAACCTTCTTTTTCCAATATCTAGGAAGCCGAATACAATTTTATATTTATTTTTTTAGTTTATTTGTTAATGTAGGTGTGGTGGTTGAATGGCCCAACCGATGTTGCTTATAGCAAGGGGCCGGCATGTTTAGGCCATAAGCCTAAACCAAACTTTAAAAGGATGAACCACCCTAATATATAATCGCACACACATACACATATATGTACATGCATACGAATATGCACATACACCCTTTTGCATTATATTTCCCGCCAAATACTTAATATAAACAAATTAGCTTAATTTCCCCTCAATACAGTTCGCCTTCTATAAAAGAGCGCGGTCATTCCTTTTTTATCACTATCAAGCACGGACGTCTTTCACCCACCACCCTTCATCTAACACAAGGTAATATTGTAAATATTCTCCGAAAACCAAACACTTTCAATAAAAACTTAGCAAGCATATTATTAATTTAAACAAACTTGTCTTCTTTCCTTTTCATTAAATTAAAACATTGATGCCCTGCTGGAATTGCGAGCCACATATGTGTCAGTGTTCCCAAAAACTAATTTGAAAATAAAAATCCGAAACTTATCCATGTTGGGTGACCTATACACTCATACGACTGAAAAAATTATGACCAATACTGTTCCTTGGTAATGTGCGACAAATATTAGTTAATAATTATCTTGTATTCTTACTAAATAACTTAAATATATACGTTTTCTATACCTGCAACTTTATTGGCTTTTTATTCGATTTTGACATACAATGTTTTAAACCATGATAAGACGTAATCATAGGACCTTTTACAACAAAAAAGGGAAGTATTAGGGCATTCGCACGAGGCGATTTTATAGGGCATTCGCACGGGGCGATTTTACAGGCAACAAAAGTTGAGTACGTAGTTGGATGAGAAGTTGAAAGTGAAAAAGTTGCCATCCCTATTCAGACGAGGCGATTTTGGATTCAACACGAATCGTTATTTACATTATTGAAAATGAATTTAAATCGCAAAATTTTATTAATTGGCGTAAATTTGGTAAGCCAAGCGTTGGTAGAAGTGCTTTTAGCGAAGCTGAAAGATAAAATAAGAGTAAAAAAGTAAAAAAGAAAAAAAGTATGTATACAGAACAGTGTTGGCATTTTTGGTACAATTGTACTTGTTTGATACAATTTCATTTACAATATACTTTCCTACTACGCAGTACTTTTTAGTAAAATTTTGTAATGAATACTAAAAATATATAGCTCTGAAAATTCACAGTTCGCCTGTTCGTATTTACCTTTGTAAGTTTTGAAAAATGGCTTGAACGAACATAGCCTAGGCAAATTTTTAAAGAAACTTTTCGATACTAAGTTTTATTAAAACAAAATGTCAAAGTCAGCTTCATATAGAAACAAAGTCTTCTTTAGTTATAAGAAGAGATTTTCTTAAATATAATACCTTTACGGCACTCACATATGGACAAGGTTTTACTATTTATTTTATTATTCTTTAATTTTAATTATCTGTTTATAAACAATAATGTATTCTTTAAGAAAAAGTGTATAAACCCAAGATTAAATCTTTGCGAAACATCCAAAAACAAACATACTATCGTAAAAATTTCGAGCTTTATTAATATTCTTTAGTTTTTAGCCCATTCAATTTTAGTATAATAAATTGCGGCTAACAAATCGGCTGCCGGCTAAATCGAATTTTTTCCGGCTGTTTGTTGTCGCAACCGGCTAAATCTAGCCGGAAAACGGCTAAAATGGCAACGCTGCTTGCTATCATCCTCACATATGTTCATGAGAGTATACCAACGAAGGATGAGTTAATACAAGGAGATAGCAAGACCACAAAACTACTCTAGAAAATTAAATTAATTGTACACAAACATATGTACATACACAAACATATGTACATACGTACAAATATATATAAAACCATTCAAACATATGTACATACATGAAAACATTGCTGTCCATAAGTACATACATATGCCCATCAGTACATCAACGAAGCCCGCTTGCTTCATCATAAATATATCCATACTAACATATATATATATGTATGAATGGATGTAGTTACGCGAAGTCCGCTTGCATCATTTATACATATGTGACCTGGTCTACGGAAAGGGGGCTTAGGTGTCAAGAAATCAATTTTCACTTTTTGGTTGATTCGGATGGAAGATGAGATGCTTTTTCACGTGGTGAAAAGCAGAAAATCCTAACTTGCTTAGAAGTGTACTAAAAATGTAGAGAAAGAAGA